AGATGCCTATAGATGAAGAGCCTGTGTTTTTATAGCATTATAACTATAACAAAGGAGCAAACTGGATGAATTCAAGGTGATTTGCAAGACCCAGAACCTTTCATCTCAGGTCACTACGCTCAAATTCAGCATGACCCAGGATTACCATTTCATGACAAATCAGTCCAGTCCAGAAGCAGGGGGAAAGGTGAGGGGATCAGACATAATTGGTACCCTTGTTGAATGAGTTGCTCAGATATCGAGATCTGAATGAAATTGTAATACCGTCTCACTTTTACCAGACAGGTCTAATAGGTCAGAGTTTGGTAGGTCAGTGTAAAAGGAGCTTGAATTACCCATCGTGGGCTGTATCAGTCCTCTGAAGCTTGGCAGCTAGTGAACTTCATATGCACTAAGCTTAATTGCAAGTAAAGGCTGTGACACAAACAAAGCTCAGGAAGTTAAAACATTAATGCTGTTAGAAACTTTTATGTTGTGCAAGCCTGTTTCCATAATAACAGGAATTGTTAGTTTTTCTAGTAAGTTCTAAAATCTTGAGGGCATGTAAATGGAATGTGGCATTGATACTTGGTATTAATAAATCTCACGTAATCCTTCTCGAGGTTTTTTGTTAGCTGCTATTTTTCATAATTATTAAACAAATAATGTTTCTTTCTTAAAATTTTGTAAGTCTTGCAACATGAGCAATATTTTGTTTTCTTAAAAGGGCTTTTCTGCAATGTCATTCATAAGCCTGCAAAGTACATATTATTCTATGGCCATCTTGAAAGCCATCAATTTTGGCAGTTTATGGATATTGCTGCAGGCTCATCTCCCAAAATTTTACTTACTTTGTGCTTATGCTCATCTTCTAAAAAAGCAAACAAACACACACCACTCCCCCACTCTCTCCCAAGTGTGTAACATTAAATAACAGTTGTGAAATCAGAGGACAGGCAATTTTCCTAAATTGATTAAGAATTTTCAAGGAGAGAGTGAGGACTTGACGGAGCAGTAGAAACTGAGAGGGAAGGAGGAAGAGCTGTCTGATATTTACCAGTGGCATTGGTTTCTTTGAGGTAAAATGAAGGAGAAAATAAGGAACGTGGAAAAGGATACTAAGGGAAGAAGGAAGATCTGTTAAGATGATCTTCAGGAAGAGAATTAGACATAGGAAGCACATAGGGAGACAGGGAAAAACAGAAGTATGTTTAACAGAAGGGATAGCAGAAGTAGGACAATACAAAAAAAAAAAGTCTGCCTTTTAGTGTCCTGAATATTTTAACGTGACCATTCGGTTCATCTCTGCTTATCATTTACATAAGCTGTAGAAAACAAATGCTCAAGATATCTGCCTGAAAGGAATGACTTCATCCTTAGCCCTGTTATTTCAAGGTGTTTGCACTTTCTATATTAATCAAAACTGTTTTATAATATAATAGTATGTTATCAGTGCTATTTAAACTGATCATGTTCTCTAAATATTGCTAATGCGAACATTGAAAGTGTGTCTGATTTGCTGACCTTTGTCTCTTGTTTAGTGTCAATGTGTGTCGTGCTTCAGGGATGTATTAATGACCCTTTTTTCCTCCTGCAATGACAATCCTCTAGGCCTAGTCTCTTCATTAATGAATAATGATGGAACAGAGTAGGCAGTTGGGTCACTGTATCCTTTCAGTGCAGTGAGCAGTCCTGAAGAGAATGCTGCATTGCAGCTCTGAGCAAAATGGTGGAACAGATGACAAAATACTTTTGATTTATAGTCTGCATTTCTGGAACATTCTGGGGTTTAGGATTGCCAGTTTCCCAAAACATTTTTTCTTAGGAAAGGAATCTTTTTTTTTGCTCTTTAGGAAAGATTTATTCTAATACCTTCTATTCTATGAACTTGGAAGCCTGAGCTTCAGTAGAAATATGAAGTAACTTAAGGTGCTGTGTTCAACAGCCATCGCAAAGACTGGGGGAGGCTTCTGTTTGATAATATTTGTATAGCAGTTGGCTAGTAGTAATTTGCACAAAATTTTGGACACTGGCCTTACCATGAATTTGCACTGCTTTTTCACAAAGCATTTTGTGTGAGGCAGGAACCACACAAGAAAAGTAAGCTGACCAGTTAAGGAACTGTACAAAGAAAAGCCTACTCTGCTACCTAAAGCAGAGTGTATAAAAACCAAAATAAGATTTCCATGTAAAGTTACTAATGGGACAAACTAACACCTATAGGTTAAGTCACGTAAATGTTTTAAATGCTTCTTTTCTTGGAGTGAGCATAACAGGGATAACTTCATTTTTCCATCTCTTTCGGTGTAAGGAATGTGATTAAGTCCCTAAGCAGTGGTTACCTAAGCCTGTGCCTCTGCATTACATGAGAAAGGTCTTTGAGTGCTGAGAATTCTGCTCCATTTTCATATAATAATAAAGTTGAGTTTAGTTGCTCTTCTTTAATCTCTTTTTGCTTCTTTTCCGTTTCTTGATCTTTTTGTTTCTTTACTTGCAAGAATTTGTTTCCAGTTTGACAAAGTGTATTACTGTGTTCTCTTGTTGCACGATGTGTGGCTTCAACTCCAAATATCCGTATTGCCATAGCAGCAGCCGTGCGAAGCTGAGGTGAAAGTGGTCTAAAGCAAACTCGGTCTAAGGGTTTTACCTCTTCTCAGCCCGTAGATTTATTCTGGAACATCTATTCTCAATTAACCATTATGGATTGAGTCTTTGTATGGATGTCCTTATTTTGGATTAAGAGTGCCTCTTCCCAGTTGAGCTGGATTAAGCAAAGCGATGAATTAATAGGCTGGAAGTAAAATGAAATGGCTAACACAATATAAACATAGGTAACTGCTGTACAAGGAAAATGGCTAAGCTGTAAATTGATTAATTGTCTTCTACTTTGAGATCTCATTTAAAATAAAAACTTATTTTAAAACACATGTATAATGAAGGGGTTATTTTGGGAGCATTAAGAAAATGTGATTTTTGTTTACTCATTGAAGGTGCCCAAGGATGGTTGTTAATATGAATTTGGTGCTTCTATTATGATACAGTCTAATATTTTGATTTCTGCTAATGTGTCTAACACAAATTCGTAATTATTTGTGATGTGAGCACACTTCTGCCAGAGCTTTGATGCAGAACCGCCTTATTCTCTTGAATATGCATGTGCCAAAAGACACATGATGTTTTCAACTTCTCAAACCACAGAACACAAAATTAATAAGGTGGAAGGAGTCATTCTTAACAGAAAGAACACATAGATATTATGACCAAATAAGTGAATAGGTGTAAATACAAATAATTTTCCACTTGAATACAACATCTTTATAGTTGAGTATTTTCAATGGCTTTTTGGATTGCTGGAACTCCGTGTAGAATCTTTTGTATCCCAAAAATGTTTCCTACTTTTGTCATTAGTGAGAACTGGGATTTAGATCTGAAATCTCCTCCTTTCAGGAGTCTCCCAGCGTGTGCTCGTTAGGTGCTTGCTGTTTCTCTCTCATGCTTGCCTCTGCTTCCTTGCATTCCCACAGCTTTGAGCTAGCCAAGGACAGTAGTTCTAGTTATTTGGATGCCCCTACCCAACTGAAATGGTTTCTACTTCCCCTCAGGGACAAAATGCAAGATGAGGTGCAGGTCAGAATCTTGGGTTTCTACAGAATATACAATGGAAGTTATAGCACTGAATATACAGTTGAGTTAAGCACTCAGTAAACAGGCTAGTGAGATAAACTGTTCATCTGAGGAGAAAACTTATGAGCAAGCCTTGCTTATTCTAGAATATTTCTGTTAAGATTTGATTTTGAAGTGGGACTAGTTTGATGTGCATAAGAATATATGGTGTCCCTAACTGCTTCTGACTTACACTCTTACTACAGCTGGTGCCTAGGAGCACCTTCCTTGAGGTACTTACTTTATAATTTAATTTAGTATTTGATTTGCACTGGAAAAGAATCTGGAGACTTCAGAAGTGATTATTGCATTCAGATTAGGTTAATTATTTTGAGGGCTAATTGAGGTGATTGACAATATATGCTTCATATGAGAGAACGCTTCTATTCTTTTGGGCTTTTTAGTGTGCTAAAATAGGAGACATCTGTGGGTGTTGTGCTCCTAATGGAGTTCTGCTGCATGTGGGTATAAGAACAAAACAATGCTGGATCCCACAGTGCATCCTGGGATTGACTTGGTCACAGTTTATATCTTCCAATCATTCAAAAATAAAACAGGAGTCAAGAAAACGTGGTCACTTTTCACAGTAGTGAAAAAAGCATCTCTCAGTGTTATGCCATTTTTATTATGCTTTATATAGGGCTGAGAACTCTGTGGAGGAATGACATTGCATCTGTTCCAGTAGTGCCATCATCTCAACTAATACATGGCTGCTGCTCTACTCTGCTGCTCTTTTACAACTAGGCAGCTTTTGTGGACTGAATTAACTAATTGCCAGAAGACTGCAAAGTCTGGAGACTTTCTTTGCCACCTTTTCTCCACTTATCTAGAAAATGAGACTTGTTTGACTTGCTAAATTCTGAGTGCCCAGTGCCTCCAAACTCTGACTATGTATCTGTGTTCAGTTATGACATACTCACTGTAATGATGTTATATTGGTACCTTTAGAAGAAATTTTACAGCTTCTTTCAACTTCTGTTGTTCCTCCAAGTCTGTGTGGTGCTTAGGTCTCCAGGAAAGGCAGATGATCTAAAGGATGGGTCCCCCCTGTTTATGGAGAGGATGGAGCAAGTGCATAATGCTGCGTACAGCAGTGTTGTGCAGGTAACAGCGAGCGCAGCAGTGTGTGTGCTGTCTTGGAGGTTCAACCATCTAGTTATTTTACTGCTGCTGAGCAGTGGAGTGTCACCCACTGGATGCTCAAAAAGCATCTTATTATCTCTTCACAAGCTGGGCATTGTGGTTTTGAGTGACATCATTGTCACTTGCAGGAGTGACAGTGGCATTTAATGTTGCTCGCAGATGGCATAATGATCCCAGCACTTTGTTTTTGTCAGTGTTCTCACTTTTTTTTTTAGATACCTTGAATACTCTCCTGAATAAATACACAGCAGCAGCAGCAGCAGGTACTCTGCAGCGAATGCTCTGCCTCTTGCGAAGGCGTAGCTTGAAGTGAGTGCAGCTGCTACGGAGCTGACATTGCTCACAAGACAAGCAGATGACACTGACAAAGATAGCAGGGAAATTAAGGAGAGTTGCCAAGTAGCAGCACTTGGAGGTAACACCTCAGAAGAATGCAGCTCATCACTATCTGGTTTATTTGTTGTTTTTCTTAAGTGAGGGTGAGAAGAATCATGCCATGGAAGCAGGCTTGGCAAAGTGGATTTTGGTATTTTCGTTTTGAATCTCTTATAGACATAAAAATGTCTTGTCTTTCTTCAGAACACAGAGATTCCTTCTTCTGTTATTTATTTTAATGTAAAAGATGAAAACATCTATATGAGGAATTAGCTACCTTAACCTATAAATTCCTGGCCTCATCTAGAAAAAAACCCCTTTTCCATGCTGTTGTTGTTATGGGAGCATATGTTGTTTTGCTGTGTTACTTTTAACCTTTCCAAGAGGCTTCATCAAATAAATATGAGCTATAGACCCTTGGAAGTGCTTATACTAAAGAAACTATGATGATTGCAGTGATAAATAATAACAGTAAAGATGCTTCATATAAAAAGAGAGATGCACGGGACTTTCAGGATACTGCATAGGAGCCTTATGCTGTACTGACTTAGAAGTGTGTCTAATGTGTCTTCAGCTGTGTAATGTCTTCCTCTCTCAGGCCACACTCTTCCAGTTGCACACACTTTATTCCTTGGGCATTTGCTTTCTGTGATTACTGCGTTTGTCATCCTGAGTGGACATGCCCTATGGAACTGAACAGAAAATCTTGAGAAGTCTTCAGTGAGACTAGGCCACATCAGCCTGAAAGTACATTATAGCGTGGAGAAGCCAGCTGAGGCTGTATTGAATTGCAGTCAGATGGCCTCAGTTTCTGGGACATTTCATTGGCACGGATGTCCTTTGAACATTATGCTTTACTTGCAAAACTTCAAGCGACGTGAAGTTGCACTGTGATAAGAAATGGGAAAAAATAAAGTGGAAGGCTTTTTATCACCTATGAACTGTAGAAGGTCTAGCAGCTATTTTTGTACTCGTGGATGTCTGTGTTGTGGTGTTACTCAGCAGCAGGAGTCCCCAGGCTCAGTGTCACCCGTCACCCTCACTTGCTCTTGACAGTAAGTATAGGCCAGTGCACAGGTGGGCATGTGGCTCCATCCTTTTACTTCTCTCTCTTCTGCCAGGAGAGGATCCCATGAATAGACCTTGCAATATAATTCTTCCCTGCTCTACCACTTGCTCATGGTTAGCTCTGGTCTTGCTGGTGGATCAGTGGTGGTTACCTGTTTGTCTGTTCTTACTCCAGGGCTTAGAGCAGCACCTGCACCCCCGCATGCAGCTCCCAGCTGGCAGATGCCTTCGTGTGGGCACTTGGGCCATATGAGAGCCTCCCAATGGACTGTGACTGATGGTAGTGTGTCCGTTGTGGGACTTGGATTTCCCCAGGCTGTGCTGTATCTGCAGACAGGCAGAAGCTGCCTCTGTAGCTGCCAGCGTGGTTTGCTCGTCAGCAGCACTGCTCAAACTGCGGTTTGGGAACAGAACCACAGATTGATTGCAGGGTCTTGTTTCCCTCCCCATCCCCTGTGGTTGCCTTTAGCAATATATATGAAGTGGTGAATTTTTTGTAGGGTCCAGTGATGGTAACTGGTTATGGTTAGGGTTAGTGGTTATGAAGCTGTGTTAATTAAGGAAGGCTTTCCACTTTGACTTTACCATGTGCTTATTTATTCCTTGTTCTTTTCCTTGGCTAAGACCTTGGATCTCTGTTAAACTTACGTGGTTACTCTAACCTGGTTCATGTGTTAGTGCTTTTCAAGTCTGATCCTACAGAATAGCCAGCAAGTGTGTCTTAAGCTGTAGTCAGGAAAGCTTGATTTGATTTAAACATTAAGGGCAAGAAAAAGCATTCACATTATCTGGAACAATCATATTCTAACTTAGCATTGCAACAGCATGGTTTTGATACCATTTCCCTTATAGCGTCTGTCAACTTGGCTGAAATGTTTGTGTCTTAAACATGTGTGTTTCAATAGGAAATGGGAGCTTTGTGGGTACCACAGAAGCCTGTGCAGAGGATATTTGCACAGTCTACCCTAAACCATCGTGTTACCTTCTGCAGGAGTGAAATCTTAGCTTTGTTAAATGACAAAAAAACCCCCAAAAAACGTTTGAAGAAAGTCTCTCAAGGCTTTGACTGCCTAGAAAGGGGGGATGGAGGAAAGCAACCATTACATTCCCCACTTCCTCTCTGTCTCTTCAAAAAGCCCAAATACCAGCAAACTGCTGAGGATGTGTGATGCTGGGCAAGCCCCAAGTACCCAGCATCTGTGGGGTATCCCACTGGTTTGGGGCTGGTTGGCTTGGCTGCAGTAAAGACCTTCGATAACTTCTAGGTTAACTGTCTCTTCATGCCAGGTGAAGAGCTGCACTATTGTTTATATGTAATGTAACAAGGAATTTTTAGTGACTTCTTTATTATCTGGTTGGTAAAGAGTGGGAGTTGGATGGTGGATATACATACTAGATTATTAGTATTTATTTGTCTTGCTGCCCTGAGTCTGTAATGACCTTATTGTACTTGATACTACATCAAGATAGAACAAAAGAAAAACATCTCCAGGAGCCTGATAAGACATATGTCAATGGTGAAATGATTACTGAGTGCAGTAAGGGCTCAAGAAATGATTTCTGGTGGGATGATTAACTTCCCTCTCAGCAGCCATACTCCCACTGGTGGCAGTACATTAGTTAAAAAGAAATCCTAACTCCTCCTTCTTTCATACTGGACCTTCAGCTCTTGTTGAATGCTTTGTTACCAGCCTTTGCAGAAGGCTTTTTGTTGTCTGTTTAGGCAAGAAAAATATTAGTTATCTGTTACGATCCATATCTTGCCTTTAATATTTGATGTCTCGTCTGTTGCCTTGAGCTTGGTTCATGGTTATGCACTGCACATAAGTCCAGTCATTAGATTATTATGAAATTGTGGCATGTCTTTCAGATGAGTGGCTTCTTCATTTCTGGTTTTGCTGTTATTAGTCATCTTATGTAAATTATTTGTTTCCTGGTTAATAGCTTCTTTTCACAGCAATTTTACTTTAAAAAGAAATTAAAAGAAGACAGAAGAAATAAAAGCAGAAGGGCTAGATGGGGAAATGAATGAAACATGTCGTGAAGCATTCGGTGCTTCTTGGCAGTAATAAATCCTGCGTGGTATCCTGCAGCCGAGTGTAAATCAGGAATCCGAGGAGATGTGAATTGACTCCCCTGAACTGCCACCAAGCTGTCTGGAGCAAGAACTTCAGCCTTTCACTGCCTCACAAAATTGAGATGAAGTTGCTGCTGCATTTGTATAGCTAGAAAGAGACTGAGAGATAGAAACACGCTGTAGAAATGCAAGTTGTTACCTCTCTGCTCCTGACATTTGCTTCAGATGCATCAGTCTAGGAGAAAGAATGGCAAGCTCTTCAGTTACTTTAAGGGAGTCATGGATTTAGAGATGTATTTCTGTACTTTATGTGACTTCATAGGGATTGTTTTGGTCGCAGCCTGTAAGAGGGAAGGTTTATGTAAGGGTTTGTGTAGGCAACTTGCTGCTTTTCAGGCAGTCCACCTTTTCAGGGTGGTCCCTGTGCGTGAGGCGGCAGATGAAGCCATGGCAGAACTCCAGAGGGCAGGGCATGGTGGCTTGGCCAGCTGTTGCTGTTGGATGTGATGAATGAGGAAATGGAGAGGAGTTACTTCATTTCCTGGTTCTGTCACTTCTGTGACCCTCTGTTCTGTCCCTTGGCTATTCAGATCTAGCTGTAGAGCATTTGAGGTTCTGAATCCTGCAAGGGTCTGTTGGCAGCACTGCCAAATGGACTCATAGGAATAGTAGCACCAGCACTGTAAAGCTTCCAGGACATATGCTGGATGATTTGTGATTCCAAAGGCTTTCAATTTTTGGACAAAGTTCTTAAAATTTATGTAAACAAATACAAGCAAGTTATATTAATGAAAACAGGTAATGAGATTCATTACACTTCACAGACAGCTTTGTTGTTCCCAAATTAGATGGAAATTATTATTTGTTGAGGTTTGTTCACTAGTGAAATTCAAATTCAGCTTACTGAAACTAGTAAATGCTCTCGTTAAATTCTCTGCTAGTGATGGACTGGATTCTCTCAACTGATTTATGATGTAAACGGAATTTCAATGCACTGCATCCAGAAATTGTTGAAGCAACATACATGATAAAACCAGGAGGTCACAGAGGCATCCATCCTAGGTGTGAGTGTTTTCACTCTGTGTTTCACATCTTTGGTGTATATTTTAGTTTTTTAAAAAATCATCTTGTGTGAGTAAAACAGGTATTTTAGTGCAACCTGTATTTTTGTGGCAAACCTGGTACTGAAGCAGGTGTTTGTTTTACTTAGATACCTTTTAAACAACTGTCATGAAGACTTCATGACCTAGTGAAGACTGATGTTGGATTACATCATAGTGTGCTTGATGACATCATTATACATAAGGGACAAAATAGACCTTCTTTAGCATTTGGTTAAAACCATAGCAGTGGTTTACTGTCCATGTGTCCTTGCCTTCCCCAGCTTCTTAAGTAGGAAGAGTTTCCTAAGGCAGCTCTCAGAAACTGGATCTGTTAGTTACTAGCTGTTCCTTTAAATTGAACATTTGACTTTTTCAGCTCTTTCACTCTCTAGATAGATAATACTTTTTAGATTGAAGTGGAAGAAAAAAAGGCCTGCTGTCACTTCTAGCTTTTTCAAGGGAGAAAAGCAAAATAGCGCACAGAAATTTGCTTCCAAAGCCAGAGAGGAAAATCCCACTACGAGTGTTGAATGAGATTGCGGCTTTGGATTTTCTGTGTTACGTCAGCAGTCAGTGGGCTAATATTTCTAATTCACATTATGAAGTTCTGAGAATCTGCGCGAGAGCTACAGAAGCTGGTGGACCTGGGCAAGTTGTAGCAGTAGCAATGGCAGGGATTGTCTCATCGTTAAATGTGAAATCAGTGAAACAAGGCAAAGAAAATGAAATCATTGTCGAGGTGATACTTTGTGGTGTCTCACTTTTTAGTTTCTGTGAAGACCTAGGTAATGTGATGCTGGGAACGCTCAGCATGTGAGAAGAGAGTTTGATACTGGGGTGACAGGAGCTCATGAGATAAAATCCAGGTCTGTGTTCTCATAGGAAGAATTCGTGTGTGCCATATCTAATTGTCATTAGAGTTCACTAACCAAAACAGTTGGTTTACCTCTGTGCTTTAATTTCAATAGCAGTTCAACATCCCTGTGAAGCTTTTACTTCCCTTGCTGAACAATTTTTTTGCTTTTGAAGTTGCATATGCTGTGATTTTTAAATTACGTTGTTTACAGTATTTGCTATTTGCAATTTTTATCTACTTTCCTGGATACATTAGAAAATGTACAGGAGAAAGTAAGTAGTGAGTGGTTTATTTGCACAATTAGTGCAAATGTAAATTCTCCATTCTTCATCTCATAATTTAAGCAGATGTGAAACATTCTCTTAAAACTTTTATGGATTTTTTTAATTGTTGCTTTAGTAGTGATGTGCTTTTGCTATTTTTGTAGCATCCAAAACATTCTCTGTTTGTCATGCTCCATTTGGTTGCAGTGGAGATGACTGTCAGAGAAATACAATTTTCCAGGAAGCCTTAATTGAAATGATGGTTTTATGTTCAGCATGCAGTAACTGACGGATGTAGATAAGGAATAGAGAAAATTCATTAAGTGGCATTTCTCTAGTTTTTTAATCTTTTTCTCCCTCCAAAAAAGCAACAATTAAAACCATTTCTGTATAAAGGCATGCTAGATCAAATCACAAACGCATTTAATTTACTGCATGACATCATAGAAAATGTTTTCTATGCAGTCACTTTTGTTCTCCCACAAATTTCAAGCAAATTTTGGGGAAAATTTTTTGAAAATGAAACCTTTAAAAAATTGACCAAGTGCTAGAAGCCTCAATAATAAATTTTCACAGTATTTCCTAAACCTGTGTATACTATTTATATATAAATTTAACCCAAATCTGCATAATCATTCTAAAACACTTGGGTCAAGCAAAGAAGTGTTGCATAGCTTCGCCATAGAAAAGCACTTAAAAAAAATAATATATATAAGCACACAAACATAAAACCAGCCAGTCTGTGCCTTATTTTCATGCAGAATATAACATGGAAGGCTGCTTCTTTTTCACCAGTAACTTATGAAGTCTGAAGTCATATTGAACTACTATCTCCATTCTTTTTTTTTAATCACCACTGGTGCTTCTTCACTTCCTTAGATGTTTTATATCTTCATATAGAAACGATATTTCAAATTACTTTGGTTTGCAGTGTTCTTTCATTATTGTCATAGGGCTCAATAAATTAAGGGACAAGCGAGAAATAAAAAAACTAGTTGGGAACAGTAATGAAGTCAATATGTGTAATATATATAAAAAAATTGTTAAAAAATCTAGCAGGAGGAAAGCTGTCTCCTGGTTAAAAGTACTGGTGAGGACAGATGTCCACGTCCAGATCTTGCTGTGCTAATTGACGTGTTTACCATCTGCACTGCCCGTCAGCGCGCACGAGTGGGGAAGCAGCGTCCCGCAGATCTGCTCCTGCCACAGAAAGAGTCGGTGACCTCGAGTCCTCTTCAAGCAACAAGGTTAGGCTTGCTCTGAACGCCTTTAGGGCTGTTTATAGTAACATTTCTCGATAAAGCAGATTATTTGAAAAAGGAGTGCCCCTCTGCCACCTTCTGCTGGCAATAGTGTGGAGAATTTGTGGAAGCTCTTGCAAAATCAACACCATGCGTTGCCTCAGATTCTCAGTCACATTTCCCTGAGCTGTGTCTCTCTGTCACTTCAGCTTCTCTGTGTTTTTTATTGTCCTTTCTGACTCTGTCTCTGCACTAGCACTTAGGACTATTATCAGATTTCATCAATTGCTCTGTAGATTTCTTTATTCCATCCTTTCCTTTCTGTCTCTCTCTAAATATAGGAGTTTATTAGTTTCTGGTGTTGAATGGGAGAAAAAGAAAAAAAAAAAAAACTGGTGAAGAGGGTTTTTTGAGTAATGACCAGACCTCAGGAGAAGGAAGGCCTTTTTGTTTGAACTGAACATTCCATTTCATTTTCCAGTATTTCTAAATGATTTATAAGAAAATACATTTCAAAATTAAAGATGAATGTGGTCTTATTTTTAGGTGAGGCTGACTTGGTGATTAATTTCTCATAGACCTAGACTTACAGAAGAGAATAAAATCACAGATGTGATTTACCCTTGTGTGTTTATGGGTCTTATGGAAGAAAATTTTTATTATGAAAAATTAAAGAGCACAATTAAATAAAAATTGTCTGAATTCCAACATAGGTTCCTTAGACTATAGTCTGGAAGATAATGGTGACTATAGATGCTTTAAACTCAGTCTAGTCCTAAGCCTTACGGTGTCTAAATTTCTGTGGTGTCTAAATGCATAATTTTTGTTTTAGAGAAAAAACAGCTCTTTGAGTTCCAGTATCTCTCTTTGCTTTGGAGGCTTCTCAGTATGTACCTGTATTATACATACGTGTATTTATATGTGCATTATGATCAGCAACATAGGACAGGATATATGTACCTTCTGTGGTCTCCTGACAGTAAAGCACAGAGCATAATTTCCAAGGTGTGAATTCATCATGTCAAGGTAAATACAGTGAGGGTTGTTGACACACACTGTGGCTGTTTCCTGTACCATTTCTGCCCTCCCTTTCATGCTGTCGAGTGCTCAGTCATCTGCTTACCTGCTGGAGCTGGCCCCCGCCGAGCACATATGTTCTGGGTTGGAAACCTGCGTTTTTCAGACAGATCTTCCTTCCATGTGCCAACGCGCTTTGGAGTTTTTTCTTTTTGAATTTTGCATTGCTGCTTGGAGATGCATTATATGAACATTTCTGCCAAAACCCCACCACTGGCAATGTACTTTCTCCTTTATACATGATGTCACCGCTGTATTTGAAGCAGGTTGTGTTTTGGGGATGTGGTGCAAATTGTGTGTGCTGGTTTTAGTGAAAACCCTGCTTTGTACTGAAGGGCTCTGCAGCCCTCTGAAAGCAAATCAAACTGCCTTCGCTTGGTGTCTGCCAAAGGCTCGTCCCCATGTCAGATCCCATCAGTGCTGAGTGACTCCCCTCATGTCTCACGTGTCTTCTCCTACCTTCTGTCATCTCCACGGATCACAGGAGCAGCTACCCGAATGGCTCACAGCCTGCAATTCCTGCTTCATTGGGGAAAGCATTTCCCCCACGCTGGAAGCTGACTGGGAGCTCATGGAGGAGAGGAGAGATCTGACATGTGATTGTTTGAATCGTGGACAATAACGTAGGCACAGTTTCAGTAGCTGGACCCTGTCTGTTACAGTGTCACTAAGCACTGGGTACTGAAAATTAAATGAAGTGAGGTAATAACAACTACAGCGTGCCTTTATCTGGGAGACAAGGATAGTGTTTCTTAGAAGCTGAAGGTGAAATGAAAGTTTGATGAGTGAACCAAGAGGCAGAAGCTACCCACCAGCTGTAATTCTGTACCTTAGCTGAAAGGTGAGTCAGCATCTTCGCCTGTGCTGTGGCAGGATTGATATGTTCAGAAAAGCATCACTTTCATCTTGAGGGAATTGTGCTTGGGCCTGGGGCTTTCATCCAAGAGGTGACTTCCCGGTGCTCACACATGTGGGTGGGGACAGTTGCACCAGCGCTGAGTGAACGGGATGTAACGCTGAGTACCATCAGCACGTTAGGATTCTGATTGCTTCTGCCTGGCATCTGGAAGATGCTGCCAATAGGGCTTTCCAGGCCTGAGGTGCCTCATGGGTGCTGATGTTCTTGGGGGAACGCAAGGACTTACCTAAACGAACTGCCTCAGGAGAGGAACCCTGGCAGCGTGGGACCCATCGTTTCCCCTTGCTCTCTTGCAGGCACCTTTGTGTTCCTCGGGGATCAGCTCTCAGTTGAAGTCTTTCTGTTGTGTCCTGTTAGGGTGAAGAAGTGTGAATAACTTCATGTTGCTGATCACATTCAAAGCCTACAGTTTTGTCAGAGTTCCAAATGATATCAAATATTATTTGGCAGATAGATGTAACCACTTGTTTTGCTGCAGTTCTTTGTGCTGCCGAGAGCATTATTTGGGCACAGTTATTCTACCCTAACATTTGCAAGTCTTTTTTTATTTATTTTTTTTTTCCTGAAAAGGTGCTAGCCGTGCATACATTAATAAAATTAAAAATAGGAAAAAACCACCTGAGTGGGTTGTTCAGTGCAACCACACATTCTTACACTGTGTTCTTAAATGGAAATGTTCTTGAGTTGAAGTATCATGCAAAATACATGCATTTTTACATTGATTAAAGGAACCGTATTATTTCCCCTTTGCTTTCTTTGCATATATAACCTCTCACTTTGGCTGCCTTTTCTCACTTAACAAAAATTTGCTGCAGTTCACAGCAGCGATTGTGTGGCAGTACGCATGCAGCAAGAGAGGCTGCTCCGAAGCAGAACAAGACATGCTTTACTGGTTTGTCCTTTGAGGTGTCAGAACAGAGATATGTGTGCTTTTTCTACTGATATTGCCAAGAGCTGCCAACAGCTATTCCAGCTTCGTCCCAACTAGAATTTATTTTGCTTTATGATCTATTTTCAGAAGTCATTGCTTATATGTGTGTATGTATCTATATACATAGGTGTTATTAAAGTAAACCTACTAATTCAAACACTTTTTTATGATTAAAACTAGCAGGAATTAGTACTAAATAGAGTCCACGAGTATTCTGTTCAGAACATAAGGACAAAACATCTTGCAAGAGTGAAATATTAGAGGAAAATCTATTTGTTAATATGCCATAGGTGGTACAGTTTGTAGTTGTTCTTGGATAAATAATTTATAGGAACGCAGATATAAGTGGACATTTTCTATTTCACTGCAATTTTAATTTATTTTATTTTATTTTATTTACAGGATTAGCTGGCACTGCTGCAGACCTAGAAAAAAGAAAGCTTATTTTTGGAAAAAATTTTATACCTCCAAAGAAGCCAAAAACATTCTTACAGCTAGTCTGGGAAGCTTTGCAGGATGTGACTCTTATAATCTTGGAAATTGCAGCCATCATATCTTTGGGACTTTCGTTTTATCAGCCACCTGGAGAAGGGAATGAAGGTAAAAACTTCTATTAGAAGTCATTTCTATAAGTTTAAGTAAAACCAGTCCTATATCTCAAATTGATTCCATCCCCACCCTGCAGAAGGTCACTAACAGGAGATTTCCATGCGGTTTGTTCCCATTACATCTGGTACTGACACATTTTTTGTATGCTTGACATTTCTTTATGCAAATAGCTGAACCTTGTGACATCTGCTAAACGAGTTAAAGAAAAATCATAATATTCTTATAAAACTGGAGTGGTTTTGTTTCTGTTTTTACCTTTGAGGTTGTGTTTGGTGTTTGTTTTTTCATCTTAGATGATTGTTTTACAGCATTATAGAGGAGAAATATGTAATTGCTTATACAACTGATGGATCCTATCTATGTGAACATGGATGAGTCTTCAGCTGGTTTATAACAGCTTGAACTTAGTGAAATTCTTGTGATGTTGTAATGATATTCTTGAAATATTTGTAATGATGTAGCTCAGGTAAGTGAGCCTGGCTCAAAACGGAGAGTGTTAGAGGCCAAGTCACGTCACTTATAAACTCTGTGCTGCAGAATCCTTCTGGGGTCTCTGTAGAAAGTTTTAACACTCTGCCTGCCCCCTCTCCCCCCTCCCCTTGTCCCCCTTTGGAAAGTACTCTTGAATTCACATGCTTAAAATACTCGTTACTCTACATAAATGCAAGATTTCCATTTCTGGCAACTGATCCCGATTTTTTTTTTCCCCCTTCTGCTCTCTCATAGACTTATAAAGCTGGATAAAACATGCTGTGTGAAATGACGTGAATAGCTTGGCAAATGTATGAAGAATGTCTTCTCTAAATATAGCCCTGAAATGCTTTTTACATCAGCTTCAGTTTCTTTTGGCTACTTTCCTTGAAGACCCTTCCTTTTCCCTTTTCCATTCACAAGCTGAAGCAGCACGTAGCTCTGCATAGCTCTTATATCATATTAATAACTCTTTAATCCTTTTATATATAATCAGGAATCTTTTGTTGCTTTCTCACTGAATTTTGAATACGTGACTTGATTCAGCAGGTGTCTGATTTAGCGAAGAAAAGATAAAGGAGTCATTTTGTTTAACTGAACAAAACATTATTTATGGTTATTACCTCATATAACTGGACATAGCAGAATACCTTGGGGACATTGTAAAGCATGAACGATGCGCTACAAAATTAGAATTTAGTTCTACAAACTTTTTTCTTAGGCATAAATGTGCAGACTGCCCTCTTATTTTTTTTAATTTATTTGGTGGGAAAAGAATTTTGAAAATAGGATTGTTACAGGTTTTAGGAAGAGGGGAGATGTGTCATCAGACGATGGTTTTGTCTTCTAATAAATATTATTCTTATTATTTTGATACTGCATTTACAGTGTTTCTTTTCCCTTACGAAGGTGTGACACATCTGAGATTCTGAGATAGTCTGAAAAGCTCAGCAGCGCAGCCTGGGAAAAAGTGTTTGTGTTTTCCCACAGCACAGTATTTTATTCAATGGTCACTGTTTTCCCTATGTTTTTAGAATTGTTTTCCTGGAAGGCTTTGCCATGTTTTACACAGGGAGAATAAATCAGGTTAGTGAATATCTTTTAATCCAACTTTTTGAACGCATTGTAAAGACCCTTTACATTTTTTGAAGTCTTTCTTTGAGCAGTTGTATAGATGTGGGAGATTCTCTTTCATTTTAAAATCAGTATATTATGAACTGCTGCCAAGGATACCTATAGTTTATTGGTAGATGTCCATTTTAAAGAGTCCTAAACGTTGAAAAACTGACATCTAGAGCTTGATTTTTGCCATTGGTGAAGTGGGGTGGAGTGATACTTGAAATTGATTTGATGGTTTTGCATAACCTTCGGTAACCAATTATAAAATATATGTAGACTAATGTTGAGTAAAATTGAAATGAACTTTTTAATGAAGAAACAAAATATGTTGTTTTGCCTACACTTAAGCCAATTTATTGAACAATTTACACTATTTCTTGAATTGAACGTGAACCTGGATTCAGACCAAACATGGGCCTGAGGAGATGGCACTTCTCTGAAAGGGCAGCAAGTCGTGTGCTTTCTGTCTTGTGAAATGTCTGCTTGCCTCTCTAACCCTCACAGTCATTATACATTGCTTCTGATTGGTCCATCTGTGCATTGCTGTTGTAACAGAGAATATGGAAAAAAAAACCATATCACATGTAATGTCCTCGCAGCAGTCTGTATAATGCCTGATGTCATTTTCTTGAGGGTAATGGTGCCTGTGGGGTAGGGAATCACTACCCAGGGACTGTGAAAAGTGACAACTGCTCCTTTGGGAAGCGTGAAAACCTGTATTTTCCTTTTCTGACTCTTCCCAGAATGAAAATTACTCATTGAAATTTAGGTTTATTTGTGTTATGTTTTTTTCTTGAAAAGAATGTATTTTCTTCTGAAAATACAGCCCAATGTTGGGAAGGAGAGCTGACATTTCTTGCTAACTGTCCCTTCCAATCCCTAACATTCTGTGATTCTGTGATACTCTGGAACTTGCCCAACTTCTCCACAGCCTACTTTAAAAGTTTCTCAGTGTCTGGATGAACTCAGTAGTTGTGCTGTCCAGCCTCCTGGATGATGCCTTTGTGGGGAGCAGGTGATGGGCAGTGCTAGTCCCTGGGGCTCAGATCTCCCCTGGATCTTCTCGTGGAAGCAGTGTGGAGGGGCTGCCGTGCCTGCTCACAGGTGCTGCGGCTTGGTCTGTGGGCTGACGAGGTAATGGGCAGCTTCACTGGAAAGAGTTTCACTTTCTAGGTGATACATTCTTAACTTCTTTTTTCCTTTTCTTTTTCTGTCCCTAGAAGTTGTTGGTATTTGATTTTGCTGGTTGATGACAATGTGAAATATAAAGCTTGCGGCAGTCAAGTTTGTCTAAAGCTCAACAAAAAGTCTCCTATCACAGAATCATAGAACGGTTTGGGTTGGAAGGGATGTTAAAGCCCATCCAGTTCCAACCCCCCTGCCATCAGCAGGGACACCTTCCACTAGACCAGGTTGCTCAAAGCCTCATCCAGCCTGGCCTTCAACACTTCCAGGGAGGAGCAGCCACAGCTTCTCTGGGCAACCTGGGACACTGTCTCGCCACCCTCACACCAAAGAATTTCTTCCTCACATCTCATCTCCATCTCCCCTCTGCCACTTTCAAGCCATCACCCCTTGTTCTATCACTCCCTGCCCTTGTCAGAAGTCCTTCCCCAGCCTTCCTGGAGCTCTTTCAGGTACTGGAAGCCGCTATAAGATCTCCCTGGAGCTTCTCTTCTCCAGGCTGAACAGCCTCTGTCCTTTGTGTAACAGGACGCTACTTTTTGGTGCCTGGTTGTTTTATAGTATATAAGACAGCCTCCTCTTTTTAATTCTAATATTTTTCTTTTGTTTTTCAAACTGAAATGCATTTTCATTTTGATAATGAGTCAACAAGACTGTTCTCCTTCCCACACTGATTTACCCAATCATTACTGCTAATTATCTGAACTCCACATGGACCTTTCGGAAGCTAAAAACAATTGTAAACATAAATTCAATACTGTTGCAATGTAGAAGACTTGAGAAAAAAAGAAAAAAGGCCAAACCTTTATGAGCGGACAGATGTGAGACACTGTCGGTCAGTGGGATGGCAAGGGGAGATGATGGAGAACAGCCAGTTTCCATGCAGGTTCATGGTCTACATGGTGCCACTGTATTTTTCTTATCACAGTTAAGTTTGTACTGTGAATTGGCCTTACGTTTCACAGGGTAACTGTGCTGATTCTTTGGTCACAGCTAAAAGTGTCTGTGATCATCCTGGGCTTTTTCAGTGTCTTTATGATCTGTGACTGGGACAGGATGGTGAACAGAGCATGAGCCTTTCTGTTGGAGCCAGAACTATGTGAAAGTGGATGTTTCCACAGAAATAACTTTGTCAATGGCAGAGGCATTTTTTCCTCTCTTGCTTTTTTCCCTTCCTTTGCTCAGAAAGACCTTGGTCTGTCTTCAGGAGCAACCTGAATGAGAAGCCTGGAGAGGGAGATGTAGCTGAAGCCATAAAAGATTATATGTCTTGGGAAATATCAGAGATGTGTCTGGCCAGGCTGGGGTCTACAGTGAGAGCCGGACATCTTTTATTTTCTATTATTGTCTAATGAACAGAGAGACCTAAATAAGAGATGACAGTGGTGTAGTGCAAGTTCATTAGCTGACACCAATGGGGGGTGGAAGAGCATCCAAAAAACCAGTGGAAAGCAAGGCTGTGGTTTGATTTTAGCCTATTCAGTCTTCCTTGGGAGCAGATCCCGGTGCCAGGCTCCCTGGCCATGCCTCCTCCTGAGCCGCACAGCTTGCAGGTGGGGAGGGAGTGCAAGAGCTCCAGGAAAAACTGGATATCTCTCATGCTGGACATTTTGGTATTTGGCATTTTTTAAAAAAATACTAACTTTACATGACAGCTCAAATAAGAAATGGATAATGGAAGTAAATTTTACAGGATGTTTAAAACTGGATAATTGTTTTCTTTCAGCATTTTTGATTGACATGTCGCTGTCTTGCAATATTTAATTTGCTTATTGCTTAGGACTAACTTGAAAAGTTGTGACCATCTAACAGTGCCAGCTTTTCTTTGTAGGAGTAAGGGATAGTAACATGAAAATGACCTTAAGACACAGTGTCAGGGAAACACCACCTTGCCTGTTTGTTAAATCAAGCACGCATATACACTGCCTTTATATGTAATACATTTATATCTGCCTTTCATATCCTAAACTTTTATCTACCAATGACCTTAGTAGTTCATATAATACGTTGAAGTCACCTTTATTTTTTAGAATTGATGTAACTCTTTTTGGACACTTGAAACCTACTTTAAGTTTTGAAGCTGTATCAGAATTAGCATTTAACTAGTTTCTGCAGTTTAAATGCAAAATATTTTTCTCCTGAGGCTTTTGAAGGAGGAATGCAGGATAAAATCCACACATCCAAAAAATACTTGAGAGCAGTAATTGCTGCAGGAA